GCGCTGGCCAGTACTGGACACACGCAGCCACCTCTAGGCCGCTCTACCTCATCTTGGATGACAATTTTTATTATCAGAGCATGAGATATGAGGTGTACCAGCTGGCTCGCAAATGTAATTACTCTTTGTTCCTATGCATAAGAACGTTTTCAGCTTTGTAGGAATTTCAGTTTTCTTTAACTGCCTTTCTTTTAAGTACTCTTGCGGAACGTTTGTTATTCTTAATTGCTAGATTACTGCAGTATAGTGAGCATCAGCTTAACTTTATTACTGTATTCTTAGAAATAGCTGGGTCACTTAAAGCCTTTCTTATGTATGTTGATCTCAGAAGATAGTACTTGAGCAGCCTTGAAGGTAAAATGGTTTGTATTCTTTTTTTAGGTTTGTATTCTTCTCAGGCTCAGAACTAGCGTAGAAGTTACTCATTCATGTAAAGTCTTTCTCGTGCGTGTTGCTCTCAGCAATTTTTACTTGAAGGTAAAATTGAAGGTACTTTTACTTAAAGGTAAAATTGTCTGTTTATGTTCTTTTAGATTCCTTGAGCTTCTGCCAGTTATTTTTAGAGTGTCCACTTGAATGCTGCTTGCAGAGAAATCGTTTAAGAAGTCATCCGTTACCTGACCAGACAATATATTTAATGGCAAGAAAAATAGAAATGCCAGATCTCAAGAAAAACGCTTGGGAACGGAACAGCCTCGTTCTGAAAAGTTTTGATTGCACTTCAGAGGATAAGTATGCTACTGGATTGATGCTAGGGTTTTCACTAAGTGCTGTTTTCATAAACAGGCGGGTAGAAGCTTTTTACTGTGTCTAAACAGAATGTAAAAAATATTCTATGTGGTGATTTTTGGAAGCCAGTCAGTTACACACAATACATGCCAATGTTGGGAACTGACAGCCATCATTCTTTGCAGAGTTAACATCAAACCTAACTGCACTTCTAAACTGTTGTTGAAAATTTATGTGAATCGTCTGAAACATGGACTGGAAATAATTTGCTGTAGTTTCAGTTGTAATTGTTTTTCATCTAACTTGCTGTAGAAAGATTATTTCATTGATTGCCTCATAAATTTAACTGAAAACTTGCTTTTTTTTGTGTGGTGAGGTGTCATTACAAAATGAAAGAAAAATCTTCAGTGAAACTGTTTGATTAATGTGTTTGACTCTTTTATTTGTTTTCTTAGCGAGCAGATAATTAGTTTGCTGGCCACTGCTTTGGAAAATCCAGTGAAGCAAAATGAGGAAAACACTGAGCAAAAGGTAGCACTGCTTGTCTTCACGGTCACGGCTCTTTCAGATGATGGTGAATGAGGGAGTTAGTTATTCCTGAACTGGATTCAGAACACCTGTGATGACAGAAATTGAGAAATAGCTAGTGCATTTCTTGATTGCAAAAGCATACACAGAGAAGTTAATCCTATTTGAAATGGGTACTTCTGTCACCTTACTAAGTTAAACCACTGAACTACCTTTAAGAATGCTGTCCTATGTTCTACAGTAGTAAAAAGAATGCCTTTTGGAGCTCTAGCATCACACCGTGGAAAATAACATTCACTTCCTAATGTCACGCGTGTCTGTCTCTGGCAGGCACCCAGGTATACATACCTGCCTCCACATTCAAAGGAGCAGGTGCGCACTGTGCCAGTCATAGAGTTGCTGCTAACGTGTTACTTGTTTGCAAAGAGTACTTCAAAAGTTGATGACAGTCTAAATCAAATTTAATGTGTTTGCATGTATTCTTCCTTTCTGTTGGTCACCCTGGATAGGAAGCAGATCGAGCAACCTGTGCAGCTAGTACTGTCCATCAGGCTGATCAGACATGCAGACGCATCATCTCTCAGACAATGAAGGATGCAAAAGGTACGCGTAGCATATTCTAGGTGCTAGCCTGCAACGTAAGACTAAACCAGTGATACTCCCTCAGGGTAAATTGTTAAGGAATGCCAACCCTGCAGGCGTAACTGAGGCAATCTCCGAAGTCTGTAAATTTTGTCTTTAAACATGAAATTAAAAGTTCAGCTTTAATTTTCTTCTAGATAAAAATGTGCTCCCAGGTGAGATGAAGAGCCTGTCAGAAGAACTCAACAAACTCAAAGCAGAGTTTTTGGAAGACTTGCGGCAAGGAAATAATTTGAAAAACCAAATTTGCATACAAAGTCAGTATTTTGACCCTGCTACAAGTGTAATTTCTTCATTCCAACATAAGGCAACTAATGTAGTTAATAAATATATTTTAAAATAATGACATAGAGAATGCTGGTGTTTTTTAAGAGTCCAGAGTATTTAAAATGCAATACTGTTTCAGCAGCACTGCTGAAAACATCCAAGAGATACAGCTTCCTTCTCTGGAGACTTGTGCCATTTCTACCTCCTGTCCCCATGTTACGGGACAGAAATACGGTCTACTGCACTGTATTTGACTTTGAAGATCAAGCCAACAACAAACCATCCTTAGATTTTAAATTTCACAGAATCGTAGGAAAAGTTAGCCTAGGAGGAACACCTGGAAGTCATCTAGTCCTGTTTGCTGCTTACAGCGGGATTAATGTCAAGCTGGATCAGCTTTCTCGGAGCCTCCTCCAGCTGAGGTTTTGAAGAGCACCTTGGATGGTGACATGCTCTGCTCGGAGCATTTCCCAAGAATACGTGCCTGGGAAGGTATAAAAACAAGATGCGAGATGGAGTTTAGCACTAAGCATGAAGTGGGTTGACAATGAACTACAGTATCCAAAGTCAGAATGTCAGCACCTAAGTTTAATCCAAGTCCTGCTTCGGTTTCTTAAGTCCCTTTTTTAGATCAGGCTCTTGGCTTCTCTGCTCGTTTCCCTGAGAGAAACTTTGCAAAGAACAAGAAATTTGAGATGTCGTTAAATTAAGGCTCTTGAGAGTTGCATGTACGTATGCACACATGTAGGATTAACTCCAGTGTCCAAAGGAACTTAACATTTGGTGCTGCTTTCAAAGTTGCTAACAACATACACGAAGTTCCATGTGCAGTGACAACCACCCTACCATGATAAAGACTCTGATTTCAGACATACAAGCACTCATGATAAGGAAATAGGAGTATGAGGAAACAAAGAATTTGGAAGATAACCAAATGTGCAAGATTAACAGTGGAAAGAAGTGAGAGAGTGTCCTGGTTCAGCACTAAAATTAAGCATTTTCAACTTAAGCAGACTGAAACATAAATACATTGTTCCTTGCTTACCCAAAAGGTAAGCTGACCTTCCATACCATATCTAGACCATAGCTAGTCATGAGCAGTTCACCAGTTCAAAGCTGTCAAAGCATATGTAATTAAGAAGAATTAACATGAGACTTAATTAGAAAGTGTTATTTTATTCATATCTTACAAAAGCAAAGCGTCACAACATGAACTACACTAGATATAGTCGAGTTATTTCAGAATTAACCTTGTAATCTGAAAACATTCACTACACAATAAAATTTATTTCACAACTCTAACAGGTTTCATTTTTGCATACAAAATATGCTCTTTACACTGAAATACATATTATTAACAAAGCAGGTACTTAGAAGCACATACACAAAGATTGCTCAATGAAAAACGTTTCAGCAGGGAATAGATTTCCTGCAGCAGAACATCCATTTGCTGTAGATTTCCAAAGAAGCTTAAAATTAATAGAAAACTTGCCAGTGAAGACTTCTAAATTACATTCCCTTCGTCAAAAAGAAACAAAAAGCAAACAACCAAACCCCCCAAACGTTCTGGAACAAAACAAAGAGCAACAGATCATTTTGCTAGGAAACACTGTTGGAACGTGTCTTCCAGTACTGATTTTTATGTTAAAATGCCAGTCAACATTTCATGTCAAAATCCTCTTCATCTGAACACTGTATCTGTGAAAAAAACAACTATTTTTCCCCATTAGCTGCTTCACAGTTGGTTTAAGTATTGAGATAATCTACCAAGATCTTCAGTCTAGTATTTGCATGTTCATTGGAATATTCAGTCTCAAAATAATAAGTCTGTATTAAGAGTACTATAAATAGTGCATGTTGAAAATGTCAACAAATCTATAAAATAATCTATTACAATAAAAACAAAAAACCCACAAAGTTAATGTTTTGCAATTACAGAACTTAACAGAGTCAAGCTATGGAAAAATTTCAGCGCATTCCCAAACTTCCCTGTTAATACAAGTTAAAATGCTAATCACCACCTTATAATATAAGGATTTGGTTTTCAAAAAAAAAAAAAAAGTCAGTGCAGTGTAGCACATGGAGAACTCAATATGAAAACAACTAACCGAGGACTCGATCCCACAATTCCTGACAAGTATCCCTCACTGACTCTGAGAAAGGCCTGCTTGTGCAAGGGAATCGTCAGGATCATACTCTAAAACAATTTTCCAGTACTAACTCTGGTCTTTAAATTATAGTAAATAGTATGTACAAAATTATGAAAAACTAATATGAAAATACACCTTCCAAACCTACTCAATAGACAGAAGGAAACAGATACAGTCAGGGTACCGTTTGGCACAACTGAACACACAGTATTATGTTAAAGAATTAAGAATCCTAGTCCAGAGGGTGACCCTCTGTGAAGGCCTAGGACGTCAGCATGGACCCACCCCACAGATCCCGTTGCAGAATCAAGGGGTGAACACCAAAGCCTGCTGCCGCCTAAGAATCCCCCCTGCAAACAGAAGCTTGCACAAGGAAAGAAGGAAAAGTGTTTTTATCATTGTTCAACGGTTCATAGATGTTCAAGCTAATTTCCTTAGGTACTTCGAAACAGAAACAATGATATTAAGTCAGCAGTATTAAAATACTTCTGAACAACAATTTGCAAGGTTTGGGGTTAGATTTTTTTTCATACCGAGTTCTATTATTAAGAACATACGTTCCCCTGCACAGAGGATCCCCTCCTAAATGAGGGCCCCTTTTCAGCAAGATCATGCAGGCTTCTTCTTGCTACCAGCTACCTCTATTAGTGACCTAAATATTCTCCTATCTAAAATTTCGTTCGGGGACATCATGGTTCAGAAGTCATTTTTCTACATCGCCAAATCATGAGCCTACACAAACAGAAAAGTCTATAATGTTTACAGGCACTGCCAATGAAAGTCCTAATGGATCAGAAACCACGTAAATGGAATGGAAGGATGAAATCTCAAACATCTGTGCACATTGGAGTTCATCTCCCAAGAGGGAGAAAGGCTGGAGCCACAAACCAAGGAGAACTTGGCTGTTGTGATCTGCATCATTCAGTATTGGAATGTGCTCCTTGGAGCACCACCATTTCAGAAGTTTCCTTGGAGTTGCAAGAGCCTAGGAACTTACATCAGCTATCAAAAGGCAAGGAAAACGACCTCTGTAAGTTACTAATTGTAATGGTCTTTAACAGTAACGTTTGTAGTTCTAATACCGTATTTTAGCCGCATTTAGATTTTAGAACATGTCAATATGTGATCAAAAGAGAGCTATAATTTCTACGTTATTCTTTGACTGGAAGCGTCATGTTACAAGACCTGTACAGGAACAGTAACTTCCAACTGGATTCTAGTTCATTCAACTTTTAGTCCTTAAAATAAAGGACTCTGTATGTTTATGCATAGGGAGTTGCTGTTTTGCTTACAAAAAAGAGATATTTTGGAATTACAAAGAGTGTCATTATGAAAAATGAAAATTACATTCTGTTTTACAAACCCACCGAAATGGATTTTGAACCAGGCCTGAAACCAAAAACATTTTTAGGAATGATAGTGTGTTATCATTCATCTTCATTACATTGGAAATACTTCAATGTCGTATTTTTGACCTCATTACCACAAGACTATGTGCAGCCAGTTCCTTCAACTGGTTACTTAGGCACGGAAAATTCAACAGTAGGTAAGTTAGGTAGTGTGAAACATATTTGGTTCCCAGATTGCTAATTCATTAAAGTCAAAATTACTTCTTAAGCTACAGTTCTCAGAAGGCTGGTTTCTCCTGCGTTGATCTTACACTGCAGTCATTGTAAGTTTTTCCACTGGCTTCAGGAAGCTTTAGCTCCCGTAACAACATAAATTTGAATAAGCCAAACATTTGCTATTCAGATTCCAACCTCTGACTTGCAGAACATTAAAAGCAGGAAGATTTTATTAACAAAACATATTTGCTGCCATATTTTGCTGATAATAAAAGGGGAATATATAAGGGAAGCTTTAATTTGTCTCAAGTAAGACAAACTAAGGTAAAAGTGCATGTCTAAATATGGGAAAAGTAACAGTTCTTCGCTTTTTTGAAACAGTACAAATTCCTGTGTAGCACATTAAGAGCTTTTATCAATTTTGCTAGGATGTTTTATTTAGGTTTATATTAAAGTGCCTGTCCGTTAGCCTAGGTGCTTCTAAAGTAAGATGTACGATATAAAAAAAATAAACATGTGCAATGGACTTCATGTACATCTTCAGTTACCATTTGCCACCTACAATATTAACCACAATGACTTCAAATGTTGTCAGCCAGTATTCCTTTGCCTACTACATGAACAGTTCAGAAAACCCAGAAGCCCTTCCCCCTATTTCTAGCACACCAAAAGGACAACAAATCTGGGGGAGAGGACAAGACAAACTGACTTCTAAGTTAGCTGAAGTTTACAATAAACTAGATTACACAACTTTCAAACATACAGGCAACCTATCAGTTGTAGCTTGGCCCAAGATAAAACTGAACAAATGATTTTTAATTTGTAAACCTCTTGTTTGTTTCTATTAGAACTTCTATCAGCAAGACAGAAGTCTAATTGTGCAAATTTTAAATATCTGTACAAATTAGTTTAAGGCAGTTAAAAATCTCACGGAATATATATTAGTTCTACAAGCTCCTTATTATGACTGTTTAAAAATTACCTCCTTTTAAAAAGGACGACATGTAAAATTTGGTAAGTGTAGTTTAAAATAAGGTGTCAGGTTTCATTTTTCCTTTGTATAACTAGTGAATGACAAGCTTTTAACTCTCCTTTTTTCTACCAGAGTTTCATTCACAATAACCTGTTATCTTCTAGTTTTGTGACGAGTTTTAAAAATAATAGTTAAATTAGTGTTTGAGCCCGAGCATGAAGAGTTTAGACTATACTAAGCAAAAACTTATTATTAACCTTCATCAGAGTAAAGCAAGTTTTACATCAAATTGAATTTGTACATGAAAGTTGCTTCTGTTTGTTTTCCCAGTTTCGAGTAGCTACATCTTTAAGGGTATGTCTGTCTCCAAAGTAACCGTATGTATCACTGCATTAACCTTTCGTATTTTATGGTTAATATATTTTGTCTTGCCTAGTAAATAGTATGATAATTGCATCCTATGTTTCAGGACACACGCTCTGCTTCTACATTTGTAGACTGTTTATTGGGATTAAGTGCAAGCAACTTAAATTTAGCAACCAAAACATGTAAACGCATTCCAATTCTTATAGCACTCGCTCAGCTTTTTTGAAAGGCTACATATAAAATATCAACCACATCTTATACAAAATTTCCCTGGCAAGTTTTACGACAACAAAGAAATAAATTTGCCTCCTTTGTCGAATTGATTAACGTGAAGATTCCTTACGGGAATGTGCAAGCTTTCCTTCAGCAAGTATGAAAAATATACTGTAATATGTTAAAAAACTAAATGAAAGCATGTTCTCAGTCAATGTTGACTATGTTGGCCTCTTGCAAAATGGCAAGCAAAGTCATACTTATTTTTACACTTACACCCACATATGTTGCACTGAAAAGGATTTTCAAATCCATGACATCCCATGTGAATAGTATAAAGGATATTGTCCGCAAAGTACATGTCACAGTGTTGGCAGTGATGCAGAAGCTGAGGGTCCTGAACCGGAAGGGTTGGAGCTGGAGTACTTGGTTGACTGTTGCTTATGCTGGGAGTACTGGTGTGGGCACTGCGATCGCTGCTGGGACCTGCTACGGGACTATAGTTCCTTTGATTGTGTGTAGGCCGAGGATCTGGGCTGGTTGGAGATGAACTCTGAGGAATATTTGCTGACACAGCCGAAACTACTGCAGGTGCAGCAGGCTGCTGTATCATGAAAGGCTTTTCATCTTGACAGGAAACAACGTCAGGAGAGGCTGGATTTTGGTTTTCGGGTGGCAAGCTAGATAACTGTCCAGCTAACGTAGAGAGCTGGTTTAAAGGATTATCTACCATGAGGTCTTGTGGATCTCTTGGCAACCCACTGCTCTGGGTTGTTTTTGTCATGGTCTCATACGCTTCAGTCTGGATATTTGGGATTTCATGAGTGAAATCATTAAGGTAGTCTGGTTTCTGAACCACCATGGAAGGTGGACTCAAATTAATTAATGCTCTTCTGCTGTACCCCAAATTGCTGGTCTTCTTCTGCAAAACCCCCCACATTTTCTTGCTGCTTAGGGAAGACCTTGTACCCTTGATAGGCACCATTTTATGTTTGCGCCTGCGGTGGTGAGATAAGTTGCTTCTGTCACTGCAGCGAAAGGAACACAATTCACATTTGTATGGTTTTTCACCAGTATGCGATCGCATGTGAGCTTCCAGATGACGTTCGTAAGCTGATGCAAAGGGACACAAATGGCATCTGTGCGGCTTCTCACCTGGAAAATTAAAATAGATTACACTATAGCATCTCAGAGTGCTTGAAAAAGGCTTTCCATGGAACAGACAGTAGCTAACTCGGAGCTGCTAATCAAACGGTTCAGCTTCAGAGTCACTGCTAGTCTTGAGTTTAGCTGGGTATTTGGTGGAAGAGTGGAGTGAATTTAGACATCTCTGCCTCACCCAAGTGACAGTAAGCGTTAAGAAAAAAAATGTGACCACAATTAGCGTTAACAGATAACCTGACTAGGAATTGCAGCAACGATGCCAAGGACTGAATGCAATGATGTTTGTGTGGTGCTCGTAACTGGATCCAAACTCTACCCCACCTATAAAAGCACATAAAAGTTGGCTACAGGAATGTCTGTACCACCAAAATGTAATCATTCTTAATGATAACTGTGTTTAAACATTGAGGGAGGGTATCCTTTCGATATCTTCCAAACATTCCTACTATTTAAACATCCTGGAACTATTGTCTAAATAACCCGTGTACACGTGCATCCAACGCAAGAACTGAATTTTGAAAAAGGATCCTGTGGCTAGAGTTATTAAAGAAAACAAAAGCTAGCTAATCCCTGGACAGCTGTGTGCTCTCTCAGACATGATAGTACCAGATACTCTCCTTTCTGATAGGTAGAACTTTGCTCTTCTATTAAATGATATTTAGAGATATTCACATTAACAATTTTAAAAGTACTTAGAAAACTTTCAAACATAATTACGGGCCAACACATTTGTAACATAGTACTTTGGGACTTTTGATTTTCCTTTCATAGACTGATCTTTTAGGAGTTTTTTAGATCCAGGTCTGCAATGTTAGAAATGCCTAAAGGATTTGATGCATGTTCAGGTCCTGAAATGAAACATCATCTTATTTTCCTATCTAGAAAGCCAGGTCAATTTCTAAATGACTGTTGTGCAACTGGTTCTCTTGCCACACAGCACAACAAACTCCAAAAAAACGTGAGCGAGCTCCTTCTCTTCAGCCTTTATGGGTTTTTTTGAAGCATTTTCTACTATTTTAAATACAGGGCAATACATCTGTTTCGTGGCTTTCAAAATCCATCTAGAACAACTGTAAAAGCCAGAGATCTGAATGCAGCAAGGGCCACTATTACACTGCAAGCACTGTACAGGCCCCATAAGATAGCATGTGACTGGCACAGAAAGCCCCTCCCATGTTGAGCATCCCACAGTTTGGAATCACAACTGGGATACTGAATAGAAGATATTTTTTTTTCCTACATCACTGGCTCTTCCAGAGGAAAGAAAGCAATTTTTCTGCTACCTCTAAGTACTTTATTTGCACCAAATGAAACCATGATTTCTCCATAAGCACATATATGTATTCAGATATATATATATGTGTAAAGATCTGGAGATTTGGTACAAACACAGCGATGTAAGAAGACTGACAAACTCCCTGCATTCACAAAGAATTGACAATCTGAATGGTCTTATTTCATTCTAAACTGGTTAGACAGAGATAAAGATTTGCATCCCATGTTGCACGCCCTTAATACAACACAGCTGGTGAACTACTAATTATACTGCTGTCAGACTCAGCATGAAGTTAATTCTGCAGTAAGTTGCACTTAATAATGGTTGCGTGATCATGCCTGGGTCATAATTACTTTGGCAGATACGTTGCTGCACTTGCATGTTATCCAGGATGCATTATCTGTTTACTCACATTGCTCTGAGGCTACTAGTCACTATCACTTCCCTATTTTAACGCTGATTCAGTCACTCTGAGCCTTCATAGTCCATGCAATCCATCTCTTGGCCCTTTGCCACACTTCCCCACCATGCCTCTGAGCAAAACTACACTCAGGTCTTGGATCTCCTTGCCCTCAAGTGAAAAAAAACAAGAAAACCAAACCAAACTAAAAAAACCCTTCTTTGTTCTGCAGTCCCCTGTCTCTGTACAAAGAAACAAGACGGGGCTTTCTGAAGAGCCATTAAGGTAATGGCAAAATGGTGTTGCCATCAGGACACCATGCAGTGCTGTATTAAAATTAAGGATATGAAATGTATTGTGAAAAGGCAAAGGGGAAACTATACAGAGTTAGTATATAATATAATATATATAATATATAATCTGGCAGCCTGAGATTCTTGTCTATATTATAAAACTGAACAGATTGCTATAGGGAAATGAACTGTTACCATTGCACGGTTACTGGTATTTCATTAGGCATCAGACATGTTTGAACCAGTAACCTGGCTATAAAGCATTCACTGTGTGAAGGTGTGTCCAAATTGCTGAAGTTCTTTGATACACAGTAGGCTGACATCTCCTGTATCCCTCTCGCACTGCTAGCTAGCTTTCTGAAACGGAAATAATTCAGACTGCACAATTTTGCAGTAGAGTGATGTATGCCTTCGGTTTGGCTACCTTTTCCTAGCACCTTTGTGGAAGTTTCTTTGATCAAATGAGTCATACATATACCCTCTGATAATGGGAATACCTGCAGCAGCACTGAGACAATAGCCATCCCACATGTAAAGCTCTGTTCTTCTGGTATAATGCTAACAATATCATATACTACAACCATAAGAAACAACTCAAAATGTTAGTCAAGGCACAAACCCGAAGTATTATGCTTTGCCCTAAAACCCAAATTTGTGTAGCCCATGGAATGTTTGCTTCTGAATAACGACCACAGGGTCAGAGATTTTTGAGGACATTTCCCAGCATCCCAATTTTTGGTTGGAATCTTTCTTGCTTTTGTATATATTATGCTACAACCATGCCGAAATGCTCATAATCTGCAGCTGGTATTGTTCTGCTACCTCTAGTCACTTAGTGATCTCTACTCCCTAAAGTAGCAGCAGAGTAAGAAAGCATTCTGAAAACACAAAAGAACTGTTAACCTAAGATCTGAGAGCATACAAAAGGTAGACAACCTCCTAGAGTAAGAGAAGAAATGCTGACACTATACCAATACCCACATATTGATACTTAAAGAAGGAAGATTTGATTTTTTGCTCTCTAGTATGTCTAAAATTTATGACACTTATATTAAGTAACAACACATTATTTCAGTCATTCTGTTTGAAGAACTCCATGCACACCAAAGCCATCAAAAACATCTCAAGAATCAGCAAACATACAATACCAACATCTTCTAGTAGCAATTTATGTTTCCCGTCACAGTTCTAGCAATCCATCTGCTCATGTTGACAACTGGCCAGTAGTAACCGTGGACTTGGGGATGCAAGTTTTTAGATAGCAATAGCTATATACTACTGAAAAGACATGAAATTTTAAAGTTGATGTTACTTCTACATCTTTAAGTACCATTTAAAAGTCATCCTAAAGTGCTACAGTGAACCGCGTAAGTCTGCAGTACAGTTTCTCCCACTACATGACCCTCATTTCACAAGCTCAGAAATAGAAGTGTACAGCGTTAAAGCTGTTAAAAGAAAAACATCTCTCGTTGTCCACATACCATACAAGGCAAAGGGTAGGTGAAGCTGTAACTGCTTTATGAAAAACTAGACAAATAAAATGCTCCATGCACACTGCTGCTTTACGGATCTGCAGCCAGCCATAGCATTAACGCTGTGTCAAATGCAGGCAACACAAGCCACAGGATTTTATCCACTATTGGAACTACACAAAATTTCCACTGGGAATCTGAAAACAGCAACAGCTACACACAGAGGTAGCTCACGGTAGCACAAGAGAAGAACTTACAAGATATTCAGAGTCTGAACCTCAGAACTCTGATTTCTAGTTGGTTGCCATTTTCTATCCCATTACACCTTGTCGAAACAAGCCAACACTGCAGGGCCAGTGCAAGGAGCACTGACTTTCCCAAAATACATCCTGGGAGTTACCGTGTAGAAGCAATAGCTCACAGCAAAGTGAGAATCTGACTAACAATAACTACCTAAAGAAAGCTACAATTACATCCAAGTTACAACAATGCGTTTCCTTCAAAGTGAGTCCCAGAACGCCACCTACCCAAGATGACTGAAATGATACACTTAGAAGTTTTGGGACAGTCCATACCAAACTGGAAACCTGTAAAAAAAATCAATTTTTTGCAGAATACAATTTTTTTTTATTATTACTCTAGTTAACAGCCATAAAGTCTTCTGTGTCGGTGTAACGGCAGGCACCAAAGTCAGACTTCACAAGGACCTTTCGTTTGTTTTCTCTCATTTGCCAAGAAGTCAGAGCTGACTTCATGAACAGTTTAGGACATTTTAACTTTTATTGCGAGTTTTGCTTTTCAGTTTTATAAACCCAGCAGTGGCAAATGCTCTTAAGCAAGCCACAGTAGCCATAAAGTCTTCTGTGTCGGTGTAACGGCAGGCACCAAAGTCAGACTTCACAAGGACCTTTCGTTTGTTTTCTCTCATTTGCCAAGAAGTCAGAGCTGACTTCATGAACAGTTTAGGACATTTTAACTTTTATTGCGAGTTTTGCTTTTCAGTTTTATAAACCCAGCAGTGGCAAATGCTCTTAAGCAAGCCACAGTAAGTATTTTTTCTTTTCATTACTGTTATTAATAATTTATTTGATGATATGCCCTCATATTTGAATATTCTACCAAGAAGAAAACTTTATTCTTACTACTGTTTTGTACTTCCACATCAAAAATGTTGTACAAATGAGGAGTATTTTCATAGCTAAACAACAGAGGAAGAAAAGCCCCTATAAATCTTCATGTGGCAGCACGTACATTTTTCACTTTTCTAATTAGCAAGGAAAAACTAGAAGTTACGTTTAGGGCCCTTCAATTTACACTGATGCTTTCATGCTAAACTTTACTCCCATATATAGTTATTTCAAATTCAGCAGTCTGCAATAATAAATGTAAGTAGGAATTTGCACAATTTAAATAGGTAAACGGCACACCTTTAAAAAAAGTCTCTTAAAAAAACCCCAAAAATCAGCTCTAATTGTTGAGTAACTCTAAGAACTATCACACTGCTTGAAGATGCTAACCCCTCATACGCAAACCATAACATTGAGTTAACACCACAACGCCTCACAGCAAAGTACTACAGAATATTTCATACCTGTATGAATTCTGATATGCTCTATGAGCCGTGCTGTTCCTTTGCTGGCATAGTTGCAGTATCGACACTTTAACTTTCCATCAAATGTCCTTTCAAACCCATCCACTAACATTCCTGAGTTTTCATCCAGTGAAACTTCAACAGAAGGATGATCCAGACCATTCTGATCACCTTCTGTCCCAGCTGTGAATAATGCAACAGAGATTTCAGAAGTCGAGAATCAGTGGGATACTCTCTATTGTGCTGTGAGAATATGCCAAATATCTTTTGCTCCTGTACGCCCTTGGTCTTTAAATATACAGAACTATAAGAACAAAACCTGATTAAAACAAAGGTACGTACACATCTTTTGTGATGTGGAAACGACTATCAGAAATGTTTCCATACAATTGTAGTAGTCTGCATAATTATCTGGAATGTAAACAGTGCAGTCATTCTCAAAAAAATAAAATTTTACAGCACTGAAATTAGCTTACCTCCCTGAAGAGTCTCTGCTTCCTTGTCTCCACTAACTGATCCAGAAATCATATTTACATGGTGAGTCTGCTGTGTAAGATATTCCTGAAAATCTTTTACAAAGTCCAAAGGTTCTGGCTTCTTTTCACCCATATTCACTCTTTACGTTTACAACCTCTTGTGCCTAGAAGGAAAAATATTTTCATAACACAAGTGTCATTGAATTTGAATGCATTCATAAAAACAAGTTTGGTTTTTAGAGGTTTTTTTTAAGTGAACGATTACTTTTATCATACAGCATGACTCAATGCACAAATTGACAACCATAAGGATATTGTTTTTAGAATTTTTAACTCATTAAAGATCACCAAATACATATTACTGGGGAAACCGTTTTCAGCAACAGTAACATAAGAACAACATCAAATTGGATAAAATGACACAATAATCAAAATCAACTTGTCTTTTTTTTTTTTTTTTTAAATGGATCGTACCTGAATTTCAGTTCCCTGCTAAGTAGCAAACATGCTCCAAAATGTACTCCCAACAGGTCAGACAGAAAGCACAGAGCACAGCTTCTCCACTTTCCCTGGAAGGAAAAAAAGGAAATGTAGGTCCATTATTCTTCCCAACCCCCATGAGTTGTAAGAAAGAAACTTGAAGAAATATATATGTTTTGAAAGACAGGTTCTAACACTCTACTGCTATAAGTTTTATTAAAACAATTACACTTCCAGCAAAAACTTTTCAAAGACTGCATCCGCTCCTTCACGTATCTCACTGAAAGGCATTTCTATCTCACTGATCATTTGAATAGTTTCTCTGGTGAACCTGTGGCTCCAAAAAATCCCAGAGTTGGGTAAGTCAGTTATGGCAACTGTAATGTTGGGGAAACCAACCGAATGTCGCTGACTAGCGAAGATGGAAAGAAGCCTTATAGAAAGCAGTATTTCATAGTTCTCCCAAAATTTTAGTTTCCTGTCCTGCATAAAAGTCTTAATCCATTTCATTATTTTGCATTGAAATAATAAAAATATTCACTAGAAGTCATTGGTCATGCTCTTTTCTGGGACTGTAAATGACAAACCTCTAGAGTCTCAATTTGCAATGAATTTGTGAAGACAAAACTTAGGATTCAGTTGGAAAGAGGGCAATGAGTAAGTCACATTATTATTCCTACAGATTATAATCAGAAATAATTTATAATGCTACATTTTCAGTAAGAATATCTTTTTTGTTTTCCAATAGCTACTAAACAAAGCATTAGGTGACCTACAAAAACTCAAGTCCTTAGTTCAAGACCACATTTAAACACATTCTCCTGTATTTTCAAAGCGTTAGTTCATTTCTGGCATCCAGATGAGTATGTTCTTTCACATCATGCCTAAGTGTGCTCAACTACTATCATTATTATCACCATTAAGTCAGTTTTGAACACATCTTTACGTTATCAATTTTGCCTACCCTCTTTCAGGTGTCACCAGCCTCGTGTAGGCTTAAGTTAGTTTGTGTTCCATTTGTTGGTGTCTCCTGCAATAAAACAAAGGTATCAGGATATGAATTAAAGATATGGAAGAGAGAAACAGGACAATGTAATGTAGAACCCTGACCAGGCCAACTTTCACCAAATTATAATAAGAAGAAATAACAATTTAAAATTAAGCCATTCTAAATGTTGAATAGTTCAACATGAAACAACATTAAAGGTCCATATTTTCACAGAAGAATCTGTGTATCCCTTTGTGTAAGGCAGAAAAACTTATTTGACCAATTACTTTTATAATAACACTTAATTTTTAAAGAAAATTACACAAAATTTTAAAAAGCTGATTGGAGAAAAGACATTATCGTGGTGATCAACTGCATAAAACTTCCTTTCTCTACCTCATAAATTTAATTTGAAAAGAGTCATCCTTTTTTTTATGTCAATGTAGGTAAATTGCATCAATTTAAGTACCCCCTCAAACCTTTACATTTGTATGCACAAAAGAACCTTTTGTGATTTTATGTGGTATTTTTTATAGCTATACAACCAGCAGTTCTCTTTTCAGGGAATAACGATACAGATCAGATGCTTGCTATGTCGCTACTGCAAACTAGGAAATGCAATTCTAATTATGAGAAACCTGAGCAGACCAGCTCGTGTTTCATGCACTTGAATGGGCTGATCACACTAGATCTTCCTGAAGTTCTACTTATACAGAACATTTTCTACATAGACAACTACATCTTCTCCAGCTTTATACGCTGACAGGTAGAATACTGGTTATTCATCTTCTACACAGGCGCAACTGCTGGATTTAACACTAGTTACAGTGCTGATGTGTACTAAGTTTACTGTCTAAGAAGCGCCATAGGATGTGCTAGGATGAGAGGTGTTATAAATATTTTGCTAAAGAAAATAATTCAGACACGGTAAAACCAGTACTTTAACATACAGTAAGAACTCATACTGCAGTAATTATAAGAGAATAAAATAATATGACTACGACCACATGTATGCATCCCGTTTTCTTTTAAGGAATTAAGGGGGGGGGAAAAAGGGCAATGTCTCTGCCCCAGTCTCATCTTTTCCAGTGCAAATGACTTAAAATTACCATAACGAAGGAGAAAGGATCCCTAACTCTACCCAAGCCCTTCCTGCTCCTTCTCAAGGAGTTTTGCGCGTGGGAAGGGGAAGAGGAATCGCAGCGTTGGCGGTTGCCGGGCCCAGCCCCACGACCTGTCATCAGCCACGGAAAATCGCCGGTTGCTCCGCCGCCCCCTTTCCACGCCAGACGGTGTACACACGCCCCCGCGTTTCCTCCACCCTTCTCCGACGCACGCCGCCTTCACGCGTGGGCGGGAAGCGACAGGGCCACGGGAGACCTCCGCGTAAACTTGTGTCCCCCTCGGCTTCAAAACAAGGGATAAGCCGAGGGGCTGCGCCGGCCGACCCGGCC